TTATGTGCATTGCATATTTTTTTACCACTTCGATCTTACTCCAAGTGTTTGAGGTTCTTGTTTCCGCAAAAAAATAATATGCAAATAACATGGATCATACAAAACGTATAATGATATTAAAATGAAACTAAGATGAAATTTGCCGCACCTTCATTACGATGCATGAAGAAACTAAGAAACTAAAATAAATAAAATTGTTAAACACATACATTCGATGTAATATGAACCTTTTCTAACATGGAATTGGTATTCGAGGTTGAAAGTTCTTTTTACAAGTTAATGTCTAGAAGGACGGCCGAAAACACAATAGGCAAGGTCTTCGTCGATGGCAGTAAGACGTTACAGGAAATCCGCGGGTGGTTGTCCTGCAAAAGACAAGAGACAGTTTTATAATGTCCAGACTCGCACACCCTCGGCATCGTGGCCAAGTAGCCTCGAGGCCCCGAGTGGTGTATGAGAAAAAAATACAGATGTTGCTCTAAGAATATACGAAAAGAAACACGACCTCCAAGACACTTTCCCATGCAGTTTTTCCTTCCCAAAAAGTATTGACCATGAAAGAGTGGGGATCGACCTATTACGCCACATCGATCCTAACGAGGGAGGATCAGTTCAACAATATCAGTCGTCCTTTCCGAACGGTGCCCTTTGCATTCTACGAGCAAATAGAGTTCATCTTCGGAAAACTAAGTTTTAGTTTATTTAGCGATTACGTAGTGATTATTTAGTAGTGTCGCGTATGTCGTCGTTATAAATAGTGCAAATTAATTATTGTAAGTCTTATTAATTATTGTAGGTTTTATTAAGTATTGTAGATTTGATTAATTATTGCAAGTTTTATTAAATATTGTAGATTTTATTATTTACATCGTGTTAAAAATTAGTATAAAAGTTAGTGTTAAATAGTTTTAAATTAATTATTTTGAGTGTTAGTTTTGTGTAACCTATAGAGTGTTAAACCCAACGGAGGAACAGCTCGCGGGTCTACTTAATCGCGCAGTGTGTGAACATTTTTCGCGGTCGGGACAATCGCGCAGTGTGTATGGACATTTTTCGCGGACGGGACAATGGCTCAGTGTGTGTGGACACTTTTCGCGGACTTCTGTGGTGTACGTGCGTGTGCGGATTAATTTCATGGATACTCGTGGACAGGACAATTGTGATACGTGACAACTAGAGGGGGCATTAACCCTCTCTACTCGATAATATTCGTAAGAAGATATTTACATTTCTTGCGAATTTTATGGAGTAATCAGAGTTAATGCGATACAGGTGAATTCGACTCAAATACCACGGGCACAAGTTATCGACCTCTTCTACGGGGTAAGTAAACAGCTGTTCTACCGACTTTTCCTGCACATCGTTGAGTCTTTAAAGTGACTGTACGCCCCTGATGAGCCGTGATCCGCTGACACTCCGTGCGCGCGGATTGCCATGATTTGGGTCAATTTTTAAACGCTTATAACTAACAAACGAAGCATTTTTCGCAATTTCGTTATTCTTGATTTTCGTCTTATTTTGCCTCAAAGAATCACCCCTTAAATTTTTTCCCACTAGTTGTCGAACACCCTGTATATCCTAAATTTGGCGAGTACAGTGAATGTGGGTATGCTATCATACCTTCGAATAGTAACATTGACCAATTGTATTTCTTAGCTAGGGTAGTCTTCTTATAAATAGCATTTTCTATTACTCATACAATTAATAAACATTTTATAATTGGACAAAGCAGTATCAATGCTCTTAATATTCAATGCCTATTCTGGAGTCCATTGTGTATATGAACCTCTATAGGCAATATATTGAATACATATATGATGAATGAAACGTTAGTAGAGGAATGTGAGAACCTCCGACTTCCTCCTTGCACAATAAATCAATGTATCACACAAGGATAATAAAAAATGGTATCCAATGAGAATATCATTGAAAAGCTTGATCTAATTTCATATTTTATAATTTTCTTAATGACTGCATTCTATTAAATTAATAAGTACCCAATCTTTGTTTTTCAATTTTTCTTAATACAAAGTTGAATCATTTTTATTGCATATTAAATGAAAAAGAATCAAAGGATATTGGCCTGTTAAAAGAACAGCAACTAATAAATTTTTTCGTCAGGATTTTGAGGATAATTATCCCGTGTGCGCGGGAGTTTTTTCATTAGGTATTTAGTAAATTAGTGTAGTGAACGGGAAGCACCTGTCGCATTTTTTAACATTCTCGAGAAAATTTGTTAACATGAAATAATTAATGTTGCGAATGATAAGTACTCAAATTAACAGTGGTACTTTGTTTAGTTTCAGGAATCGTCGTGGGATTAAATTACTAAATTATCAAAATAAAATATCTATAAAAACGTGTTATTATACCCTTTTATACTTACTATATGTGAACATATTCTTTTGAGTGTCCTTTTCACGAATCAAGGTATCATCTAGTTACGGTTCGCTAATTTAAACTTAAATCAACATCTGAAGATATCTCTTTGTGTAAAGATCATCTGAACATATGTCTCCGCTTGAAGAATATGGGATGATTTTTATTATTGCGAAGATCACATGGATATTTTTCTTCACGTGACAATCATCATGAGGCCCGTGCGAACTTAAAAAATAACTCGTCTCGTTGCATATGGGTTGACCGACTGGTAGGCGGTGTTAGTGTGTGGGGGGTGGGGGTCGATCTGTACTCAAAGTAGCTTTCTGGCAATAAATCGTGGCAATCGGCATTACGCTCGCTAAAGTATTGTAAATATACCAAGCTATTAATATTTCACTTTCCTCCTGAATTCTATAACAGATTTAGTATACGGAATTGATCCGTATACTAAGGCTGCTTACCGATCCCTCTGGATTCTCCGGAGAATTCAGGCATCGGTTGTGTTTTGCCTTTTTATTAACATTTAAAATCTCTGAAGAGATTCAATTCTACAATACAAGATGATATAAATTTCTAATCACATTACATATGCTCATTGAGTAATCTTATAACAAAGTATGTTCATATATATCTACTGTAGTTTACACTTAATAATAGCTTAGTATTCGGTGCGTGAACGACACGATGAGTGGCAACTCTATTCCGATAATCCCCTTCGCTCGAACGTATGTCTTTGCGTTGCGATTAATTTAAGTTATGTGTGTGTGTGTGTGTGTGTTCGACGCGAGTGTACTAAGATTTAAGTCGATTATAACGAGACAAATTGTAAAAGGTTGATAGACGTAGAACTTGTGATTCCGTCTATCTTCCTCGGGTCTCCATTCGCAGCAACCTCCACGTGGTGAGACCTGGGCAATCGGTATTCGATAAAGTTTTGCAAAACGCGGATAATACCTAGCCAATGGCTGCGAACAAGTTATTATTAGATCACTTTGCTCGCGAGTTCTTTACACGGACTTAGTATACGGCGCTAGTGCGTGTAGGTATACTAAGGCTGTTTACCGATCCCTCTGGATTCTCGGGAGAATTCAGACATCGGTCGCATTTTGCCTTCCCTGGCGTAGCTGCATAAGTATATTTGGATTGAAAGATAATCGTGCCACATCTGTTAATCGCCTTTCGGGAGATTGGTACCCTACAGCACAGACGGTTACGGTCTCAGCTTCTTCCATTGCAGATCGGTGTCCATTATTGGCTCCGGCATACGCTCTGGTTGGTCGCTTGCACTTTAATCGGTCGAGTCATTCACCAAATAGCCAGGGGGGATTTAGGGGGCTTTTTTTGTAGCCAGGTTTTGAAGGCACGTTTTGAATCGCGAACTCTTTACATTTTGCTCTCAGTATACACGTTCATATATACATACATATATGCATGCCAGTGTGGAAGCAGAGTGGGACCTTTAAATGTTTTCGAACATTATGCATCACTATATAATTATTACACAAAATGTAATATTTACATATATATATATACTTATTTCTTATAAGCGATAAAATAATATCCTATTTGCATATAATCATAAACGCCTATATAGCAATACAAATAAAAGTTGACATAATAATATATATATACATATTATTAATATTTGTTAACATATAGATTTAATTTTGTAATTTAATATTAAATAATTATTTAAGTACTTAAATATCGATTGCAGATGCATTTAGATGAAGTGTAATCGATTTAATCTGTATAAAGTAAATTGCGCAGTTTTACTGCCTTTGTGAGGTGAAGCTGCCGTCAGAATATTAACAGCTCTCTTCAATTCCTGACGTCACTTCATGACACCAGGCCTGTTATATTGCTGCTGCTAGTTTACTGTCCGTACTGGTGTAGTAGACCCTATACCACATTTGCAGCAAATCTGCACATCAGGTCTACAGCAGAATCTAGTAATATATGTTTAGAGCAGGTTTGGCTGACTGTGAGTATAAAACAGTCTCGACAATTCCCTCTGAATCAAGATTCGTACATATGTATGTTATATATACTATTTTGTAAAAATTGTATATATCGTTGAAATCGTATTGTAAATGTACATATTCAAGAAAAAATAAATTTTCTGGAAAAATATAAAAAGTATTTAATTTCACCTGTCTAATTTAAATGGAAGCAATTACAGAAGCCGCTAGATTATACCGTAAGATTTACTCTGTTTCTGACAATAATCTGTTGTTACGTCATATTGCCGACTTGCTCTGTTTCTCCAGGGAATCTGTTACGTTATACTGCAAACCTGATCCGTTTCTGCTGCTACGTTATACTACAGACCTGCTGTGTTTCTGCTGCGAATCGACTGTAGACAATGCCAGACAGCCATAACGGCAGTTGGCATACAGACTGCTGCAACAGATGCGTATGTATCTGACAATCAAGCCTGATCTTTCATGATATCCGATGACGTGCATCTGACGTCAGTTTGCATATAGGGTATGTACTAGCTCCGGCACGAAAGACCCACGTTTACAACATTAAGGGTTAATTTAAAAATAATTTTTCTAACAATTGTATTTAATACATGTATATGTACAAAGACGACAGCAAAACATAAATAAATTTCAGTGTAATAATTTTTTCCACAATACACGCATAGGTAGTAAACTATCCCTCTTCTGTAATCTTGTATCAAATACATTGAAGTCTACTTTTCTTAATTCATTTATGTACCTCTCTAGACAAACTATTGGTAAAAAGATTAAATCCACATTTTTGTCTAGTTTACTTTTAAGAGATATTGCCTATAAACAATAAAATATTTTACATTAGAATTCACAAAATAAAATAAAAATGTGTTGTGTTTTCAATTCCTACTTCTTTACATACATTGTAATTATAACTTCAAAGAATATTTACCACATCTAAATGTAGTTTTCCACAGGAAGTAATGTCATATATCACATTTTGAAGACCCTGGTTCATTTGGCCCTGAAATATAGCTTCTGTGGAAACATTATGTCGCATTAAAGTATCTTGCGGTAACATATTCACTCTATCTCTGGCATTATGGGGAATTGATCGAATCAAGTTAATGATTCCATGTGCTTTGCCCATGTGACTTGCAGCATGATCTGCATTAATGTCAGTTATGTTGTGTGCTTCCAACATTAGATAATAAATAGAAGAAGTACTATATTCTGCATATTTTTCTACTTCATTCATATCAAGAAATAAATAATTTCTAAGTCGTTCTAAACGAATGTCTATTAGACGTTTAAAATAACGTTTGGAAAGGGAACATTTCTGCAAAATCTGTAAATAATATCATTACAAACATAATAACACTTGATGAATACCAAGTTTATAATATAAATTGTTATAGATTGGTTGTAATATAAGATCATACCCTATATAATTCCAACATAACAGGACTTCTTGGAGGATTTCCCCTATATGTCTCATTTAACGCGTCTGTCCAAAATTTAATTCTCATTTCTCCTATTTTATAGTCACGTATCTGATCTTGTACTTGAGCCACTTCCACATTAAACGCACGAATGGCAAATCCAGCTGCTCTAGTTTTAGATGATAGTGATAACGTACACAGAAAATTTTCATAATCATGTTTTCTAAGAAACATTAAAATGACAGTAAGATATTAAATTAATATTATTTTTATGTCTACAACATTTTATAATCCATAAAAATCCAATTTCTTTACAAATTTCCATACATTTTAAACCAATTGGATCATTTTAATTCATGTGCTTCAGAATTTAATTGCTTTTCAAAATTCAGGAAAATAATTAAAATTAAAATAATAATAAAGCTAAAATATTTAAAAAAGTCACAATCGTAATCTAAGTTTTATTCATTTGTTGTTATTAGTCATTATATACCTAACTAATTCAAAGCAATATTCAGCAGGCGTTTGTTTTGTAGCTACATTCGAATATGTCGAAATTTGTAAAAATGTATTTCTAACAGCATGCATAAAACTTTTTTTACTCATATTAAATTTTTTAAATGTTCATTCAATTTATGATGGACCAAGTCACATCCAGTCACATCACAGACGAGATATGTACAATGAACAGAAATATACAGGGTTAGCCACTTGTCAGAGAATACGCGCGCGTGTGTGAATCGATTAGAGACCCTATATAGGGATGAATCGATGCAAGTAAATACGAGTACCCATCGCGAGCAAATCAGCTTCCGCAAGGGGAAAAAGCGGCGTATAAAAAAGTCTTCTACCACTTGGTAAATTTATTTCAGGTAGTGAAATAAATGTTAAATTGAATGTTAATTTGGCATTCATTTCAGTAATTCCAAATACCAAGTGACGTAAGAGAAACGCCTCCTACCACTTGGTAAATTTATTTCAAGCACCGAAATAAATGTTAAATTGAATGTTAATTTGACATAAACTTCAATAATTCCCGAGACCAAGTGATAGAAGGCCCTTCTCCTGCACTGCTTTTTCCCCTAGCGGAAACCGAGTTTGCTCGCGAGGGTACATCCACGAGCAAATTCGGCTTCCACTAGGGGAAAAAGTGACGTAGGAAAAAGACCTCCTACCACTTGGTAAATTTATTTCAAGTACTGAAATAAATGTTAAATCGAATGTTAAATTGGCATGAATTCCAGTAATTCCCAATACCAAGTGGTAGGAGGCCCTTTCCTTACGTTACTTTGTTCCCTAATGGAAGTCGAGTATTGCTCGTTTACACCCACGAGCAAACTCGGCTTCCGTTAGGGGAAAAAGTGGCGTAAGAAAAGAGCTTCGTACCATCTAGCAAAATTTATTTCAGGTACTGAAATAAATGTTAAACCGAATGTTAATTTGGCATAAATTTGTAAAATTGCCAAAACTAAACGGTAGGAGGCCCTTCGCCTATCTCACTTTTTCCCCTAGTGGAAGCCGAGTTTGCTCGTGAGGGTAGACCCACAACGGGTGATTAGCTTCTTGCATACATGAGCCATGTTTTTAGTGGATCATTTGTAAATTGTTGTTATTAGAATAAGTTTTCCAGGAGTTAAATATAGGTGCTGTTGAACATAATAACCTCAAATCTGTATACTCTATATACAGGGTGGGGAAATAACTATGTCCACTTTGAATATTGCCGTTATTTGAAAAATATGAAAAAATGTTATGTATAAAACTTACACAGGATAGAGGGGGCATATTGTGACACAAACATTTTCTGCGTGGGTAAAGGCACAGAGCAGATTTCAAGGTCATCTCTATTTTTTTTTAATGGAATGCTGTTTTTTTTATCGCGATATGACAGCCGGTGTTGAAACGACTTCGGCGAGCTATCATTGAAGGTCATGCAAGGTTAAATGTGGTAGTAAAATAAACTTTCTTACATTACTGGCGAAATAGATTGGGGACTTTATTAGAAAATAGTACCACTAAACGTTCGCCAAATGATGTGGTTACAGCACGACGGGTGTCCAGCATATTATGCTCGGAGAGTAAGAGATGCACTGAGTGAACTTTACCCAAATAAATGGATAGGACGTGCAGGATTAGTTTCTTGGCCATCTCGTTCTCCAGATTTAACCCCATTAGATTTATTTCTCTGGGGAGCATTGAAAAATGCTGTTTATCAAGAAGCACGCACTACACCAGAAAATATGAAACAACGGATAATGGCAGCATATGCTAGAATAAGTTGAGAAACGATAAGACATGCACGTGATGCAGCGATACGAAGATTGCAACTTTGCATTGACGCAAACGGTCACCACTTCGAGCATCCTCTGTAATGTAAGTAAGTTTATTTTACTACCACATTTGACCTTGCATGACCTTCAATGATAGCTCGCTGAAGTCGTCTCCACACCGACCATCACATCGCGATAAAAAAAACAGCATTCCATTAAAAAAAAATAGAAATGACCTTGAAATCTCCTCTATGCCTTCACCCACGCAGAAAATGTTTGTGTCACAATATGCACCCTCTATGTATACCGTATAAGTTTTGTATTTAACATTTTTTCATATTATTGCAGATAACGGCAATATTCAAAGTGGACATAGTTATTGCCCCACCCTGTATATTCTATGTTCTATAATTTACTACTTACCAATACATGAATTTAGGATTTTATTCGATATGTGTAAAGAGATAGTAGTGGCCCCTCATTGTATTGCAAAATGATGTTCCCCTCCAAATCTGTACCATATACTAGTCTGGGTCCTTTACTACAGGCTTGGGAATTAACTCTTCTTTTAATTCGATATTTGTATCAATCAATAGATTTCCACATTATCCGTGAGGCACTCTTGTCGATGCGTTTTTTTTTCTCAGTGGTATCCCCTGTAAGCCTAATCCACTGTGTACTTAGGCATTGGCGTACCTAGGTAGGCGCCAGGATGCATACTGCACCCCCCCCCTGTCCAGAAATTATTGACATATGTAAAAAAAACATTCGTCAGTTACTAAAATCTTATGTTATAAAAAATGAAAACTTGGTCAGAAATGCAATGTCACGCAACTAGATACAAAAACAAATACTATCCTCATTACGTTAAAGTATTAAGTACGATTGTATTAGAATTAAGCTGTTTAATTGTTACATCCTATTTAACTAATAATCCTGCAACATCAATTGAAGGGTCGGATGCAATTAAGGGAACCAGCGCTCAAGAATGTGAAAAATATTTTTGCAGAAAGAAAGCAGTGGTATAAATTAGGTACAGATGCCTGATTGGGAGTGTTATGGGCGAAAATCAGGAGACCTGCCCACCCCAGAAAAAAATTCTAGTTATTTAGGTACCTTTGTCCCTGAACGAGTCAAAGACTACCCAGCGCAGCGTCGAGCAAGTTGCGTGATCGCAATTTTTCCGTGCGACATTGGATCGTTGCAACATTCATACAGTTATTTATATAGGAAAATATTAGTAAGTCTGACTTTTTGTCAAAAATTTGTCAATCATACTTTTTAACTACTGATTGTTTGATCGTTTTATTCATGAAAAGGTATGATTTTTATTTTTATTTTTGACGTTGCAAAAACAGAAAGCGAATTTTTGGATCTGGAAGTCTACATGTGACATATTTTTGTATGAAAGTAGCTACTATTTCATCCGATTCTTTACCTAGAATAGTAGCATCCTTGATCCATATTAATAGGCGAAAATGTTGCAATCCTCTACCTTGGTATTCTCTTCCCTAGAAATAATGTATCACGTGCCTGATTGGATTGTCGATAGAGTAAAGAAACTCTAACATCCCATGAAATTTGTTATCCAGAAATCTTGACACTGATACGGGATCCTTTGTTTATAATTTCATTAGTCGACCGTTTGTCCATAAGCGGCGTGTTAACTTCTTTAACATATTCAATTAAATCTGACCATAACCATTAATAGATGGACTTAACGTTTCTGTATTTGGAATGCGTGAGAATATAATTGTTAAATTACGTTCTAGAAGGTCCTTTCGTATTAAATCCAAATATGTACTTGCTGTATACTTTTCTTTGGAATTAGTTACGTTCAATTTCTGTGAATACCAGTTTTTAATCGTCTAATCTTTGTTTCATTCAATAAAAAAAACAGGTATTGCATGTCGAGTCGAAACTGAGAATGTTTTGATTTTAAGCCTTGCTTTGATGTACTCGAATTCTGTAAAATGGACTTCTCTATGCTCATGTTCTCCATGCACTCCGTAAGGGTACAAATGTGGAAAACATTGAAGGTCAAGGCTCTTACAACGACTATCAATTAGCGCGTCCTCTACCTTCTTTTGCTGATATAATGTTATCGATTTTTCATTAATTCTGTTCTCATACAATGGATAAATTGTATATTTTTCGTAAATACCATCGTTTTTATCAGCTTGAGTTACCAGTGCAGATAATTTTATTTGCTTATTGGTATTTGCAGTTATTTTGTTTTTTTTTGTGCGTCGGAGTCGTCCATTTTATATTCAACTTCCGGCAAATTATTATTTATTAATTCACTTAGATTTGTAGGCAAAATGATATGTTCATGTAAGCCATTGATCTCTTTCAAGCGTATCAAAGCATTATACATGTTTTTTACATTTACAAGGTGTTCCCAAGCTTTGTCCCCTATTGTAGGTAAAGTACGCACCAATATGTAAAATTCCGGATTCATGTTGACAGGATTTGTTGGTTTACAAATCTTTTTAAGCGTTTCCTCCATCGGCAATGGCAAATTAAATGTTCTTCCTTTTACTTTCCGGATTTTATGTTGATGTTGATGAGTTATATTTTTTTTGGCTTGCGACACAGTTTCTATTTGTTGAACAACTTGAAATGCTTTTGCTCTCTGTGTTGAACATTCTTTCGTATTCGTTTAATGTAGATATTTCTTTTGGCGTTTCTTTAACGTGAAACATATTCTGAACGCAAGTTGGAGGCATTTCATTTCTTTGGAATTTTTCCTTACAATATTTGCATATAAAGTCACTGTGCAATCCGTTTTTCTCTGCGAAAACTTTAAAGCTTTCCCATGACTCTGATGTCAAGGGCTTTCTTATATTTGCAATTTTGGTTATTTCTTTACGATAGCACAGTTTGTCGCAGTAATTGCATGCATTTTTAGTAGTATCCAATGTTCTTTTGGCCAATTCTTTAAAAGCATTTTTATATTCCGCCATTATTTCTTGTTCATTAAGATTTTTTATTTCACACGATTTCGGTATCATAGCTTTACTCTTTTCTATCGCTTCTTCACTAATTTTTTTTAGACATTCGATATCATTTTCATCCAATGCCTTGTCAAGATTCTGTATATTATTGGACTGTTCCAAAATTCTACAAATAATTCTCTTCATAATTTTTACATTGACAAAATGAGGAGCTACAAGTAAAACTGGTAAAAATGTTGAAGAACATGTATCAGGTTCAGCATAACAGAGAAATGAATGTCCTAATTTGCGGGACATGCAACTTCTACTGCAAGACAGTAAGTTATTGGCAAATTTATGAACATTCTTTATTTTGAGGCTGTCAGCAGTCTTCAACAAT